GAAAAGATGAAAGAAAGAAGAGATAGAAAGGAGACAATGACAAAACATTTTCAGTCTGCTTCATCACCCGTAACGAGATGAAAAAAGAACAGCACAACCCGAAAGACATGGTACGAGATATACAATAAATCAACACCTTGAAACTATCGCTAAAGTAATATTATTAAGTCTGACATGTACTCTGTGTTACCTGAAGATATGAATGTGGGCTTTCTGTATGGAAGTGAATCTCTAAGTACCTGGAGCCAAGCACCTGTAATTGTTTGTGAGGGTGAACTTGTGCATGTAAAGTTTAGCAAGCTCAGGGTTTTGATGGCGTTTCAGGAACTGACCTCTAAACCTCAACCTAATGCAACACGTAGACTCATGAGGTATAAGAAGCAGAAGATGACATTTTTCGGTCCTCAGTTTTTGGATGCCATCGCCTGCTGAAGACCTGAGCTCACAGCTGTGTCAACTGCTGCAGTTTCTCTGTGATCTGATCTTTTTACTCCTGCTTATAGTCATTTCAATATGAAAAACAAACAGAAAGAAAACACAATTACAAGAACTTTATTCATACAATTACTTTAGTCTTTGGTGCTCAGACCTTGGCAGGAAACAAGCGCTAAGTTTTGTTTTGATAAGTGTAAACAGGAGTAAATAATAGGGATGTTTCCCCCCCAGGCCTGAAACTGGTGGTGGAGTGGAGATAGATGAAGTTGGTCAGTCTGTAGACTGCTGGTTAGCTGGACGGTGAGCTGTATGAAGAAATCCGGTTTGCTCCGTGAGCTGATACTAGTGCTTCACTCTGGGACCAGAACATGGAAGTACAGTTGGATAACAGAGGTTGTGTGAGCAAGCATGAAGTGACAGTGGAGAGGAAAAACTCCCCTTAGGGAAGTAACCTGTGGTAGAATCAGGCTCAACATGGTAGTCTTCTGCCGGACCATTGAGATAAGACAGTAAGAGTCTGTTAGGAATGACACTCTGATGAAGCTTTAGCTACGATGGTGGAGGAGGGGCTGGAGGCGGGTTGAATCGGGGTTCTCTGAATCAAAGGCGCCTTCTGTGAGATGTGGACTGGAGTCCCTTTTAGGTTGATCTATGGATGCTGATTGGCCGGTGACTGAGGGAAATAGTAATCATTTTTATCAGTTGAACTTCCGCCTAGGCTCCATTTTTATAGATTTACCAAGCCTTAAGTGAAAGGTGGTTAAAATAAGTAGATTACTCCCAGGAAAAGAACAGAAAGGGAAGCAATAGCTTTAATAACAATGTGCACAATCCTATAATAAATTTTATATGCCTAAATTTCCACTGATTTAGCCCTTTATTTGTTACGCTTACATTACTGAGATTTAAAAAAAAAATAAATTAGAAAAAGAACCTTTTCCCCCGT